TCTACAGTTTAGCGCTTAAGCTCATTCTAAATTATTTGAGACAAATTTCTCATTGGAAATGCCTATCCTTCACTCTCTATGAAATGCTGAAAAGTCAGTAGCTTTAGCTCAGAAAAAAAATCATACTTTGAAATCCACTGGTAGCTAAATCCAGATGGTGGGATATTGATTTTATTTGTATGCTGGCAGCCAGTGAAAGTACTGAGATAAAACTACTCTTACATATGCAGATAAAAAGGTGCTTTCTAAAGGTATGTCTTATCAGAGAAAGGTTAAAAAAACCTTGAAAAGCTAGAGGAAATCTAAATCTGTCAGATGACATGTAAAAGCAATCCCTGTCGCAGCTTTCTCTGTAGTGTCAAGGCAGGTCACTATATTCAGTCTCACTTTTCAATCCAGCAACTGGCAGCTGTTGGACTTGTAGAAACCTGGCATCACCCTTCTAGTCTCCTGAAAAGTCTCTTTATACCTGTTACCTTTGAGACTTGATCACTGGAATCCCTCATCTGCCCTGCCTCAGCTACAGACTCTCCTCAAAACTGACCATATTCAGATGGCATTTTTCCCTCAAGGGTTCCTCCTGACCCAACATGCAGCTCTTGAGACATTGCCTTCCAGAGGAAACTTCTCTTTTCTGATGTACAGCTACAAAATGCATGAAATATTATACTTGTATAAATTAAATCATTCTACCATTTTTCGATGTATGCTTTGAGGAGAAAAGCCTGAAAACTCCTAAATTCTGCTGGACAGAGATAAAAAAATAACCAGACATCATTTCTTAGATCAAATTTGGAGAAGGATCAGATCTGGTTTCAAGTAAATCCGGGATAATACATCAACAGACTTCTTTTTTTCTAAATTAATCGTAGCTGCACATAAAAGCAAATTTTGCAACCCTTGACACTACAAATTAGTGGAAAAGGCAAGACTTGTGTAGGGGTACAAGAAGAGACTCAATAAACTTCCACTGCCACTTACAGCATGCCTCTAAATCTCCAAGTGTCTTCTTGGGAAGAAACAGATCCACCAGGAGCATGCCTCTTAGATAACCATTCTGTTCTATGCTCACTGCTGCCCAGTATTTACTTTGAGCATAACTTCACATGGGGGGGAGTGGGGGGAAGTTTGGAGGGTGGGAACTATTTTCTGAAATGTTTGTTAAAGCATGCCAGGATTTTATTTTTTTTTAATATTTACATTCACTATTTATTTAATTATCCTTTCTTAATTTTACAACAGCTTTAAACTTGATGTAGACATTTGCATCATTATTTATAGTGCTCTAACTCGATAGCTGCCTTTATGCTGCAGGTTAAGCTCAAAAGGAGATAATATTTTAAAAATTATTCCAAAATAACAGAGCATCACTGCATTAGGAATAATTCTTAAACCATGTGGTACACACAGCTTATCAGTTTTAAAAGATACAAATAGCTGCTCCCAATTAAAGCCTAGGGAGTAAGATGTACAGGGGAACTGCAGACTGGTTCCAGTGTGATGTGGTTGGTTTCACATTAAAGAAACATTTCTTTATTTGTAATACTTAGTCCTTTCAGTTATATCGCTGAAAATTTTCAGTCTTATTTTCTTTAGGCTCATGTAGCTTGTGCAGGAAAGAGTTTATAAGAACATGACAAGAAATTACACTAAAATATTTGGAAAATGAGCAAGATGCAAAGAGGAGATGAGAGAAACATTAAGGAAGAAATTAAGGATAAATGAAAATTTAGGTAATTGAGCAGCTCAGTACATATAGTGGAGAGGTGGATTACTTCAATACAAGGAAACAGAAAGAAACAAAGATTTAAAAGAAATCTATAAACAAGATGTGGAATCCTTGGAAATAAAATGGAGACTAGTACAAAGAAGAGGAAAGAACTGAGCAGCAAAAATTACTATAAATAGGGTGGTGGTACAAAGGACAAGAAGAGAAAACAGGCAAAGCAATATGAAAACTAATGGGAAAGAGCATCTTAATGTGCTTCCACTCAGTTGTCCAATAAAAGCACTGCAACATTTGTCCAAATACAATAAGAAATCGACACCTGCAAATTAAAGTGCACAGCATAGGCTGTAATAGATCAAACTGAAAGGGTTCTTGGAAAAGGACAGTGAATGAAAACCTGAGAGACCTGTATTAAATTAGAGGTTTGGCCATTATCTTCCTATGAGATATGAAAAATGAGAATATAACGCCTCCTACCTTGTTGTGACAATAAAACTCATTAATTATCGTGAAGTGCTCACACATTACATGCAGCATTGGGGAGGGGAAATAAGTAGAATCTAATTGCTGTTGTAGGATAAGAAGTACAAAAGGTCTATTACTGATTGATGGACTACAGGGTTACAAATTGATCATTGTATCTGAGACTGAGAAATCCAAAGGCCAAAGAATGATTGACCTTCACATTCTTGTTTGTTTTTTAAGTCCAAGAAAACACAGTGATTAGATTCAAAAAGGCCCACTGAAACAGTAGAAGAAAAATGAGAGAAGAATCTCCTGAATGTGGTATGTAAACAGGAAGAAGGAAATCAAACTGTACTGCAGAATATACAGAAAAATACACAAAATTAAGTTTAAGAGGATTGCTGTTCCGATAAAGTTGTAATTTTAAAAGGATGAGTGGAGACAAATAAAAACTGGCAGGGAGGACCAGTGAGATTAATTTCTTCTACATCCAAAAGTTAAGATCTAAAAGAGTCTGTAATAGGAACTGGTCAACAGAGAAAAACACACATCTAGATTCAGCTAATCTCAGACACCTGTTTCAGAACAAACTGAACAGCTCTCCAGAGGTACCCACAGGGACTACCTTATATGTCTAATTTAAAAAAAAAAAATAAATTTCTCCTGCTAATAATTCTTAATTGTACTGAAAAAGAAATAAAATATCATTTCCCATAATTAAATAAAGGCTCACAGCATGGAAGAGGAAAAAAATATGGACTTAGAGGCAGAAAAGAATGGATGGCAAAAGCAGTCTTACTAACCACTGCTCCAGAAATCAATGATTCTCTTAAAATCTCTTGATTTAAAAAAAAAAAAAAAAAAAAAAAAAAAAAAAAAAAAAAAAAAAAAAAAAAAAAGGAAAAAAAAGTAAGGCTTTCTCAAGCATTTTTTTCAGGCAGGAACAGGGGATAAGAGTATGAAGTGTTTGCATACATATTTGAGACCTGAATGAACCCAATATTTAAGCATTGTAATTCTGTTTCCAGAAGTGATCAGCACCTGCCAATCCAGTGACTTAAATGAGAACAGACAAATATCTTCCAAATTTAGGTTACTTTTAATGGAGTTTACTTAAAGCATACAAATTTTAAAACTCAGGACAGTCTGGTTTGTTGTATTTGGATTCAAGTACTCATAACTCTATATAAGCATATATAATAGTTCTGCTTGACATGATCTATGTACCTTCTTTAATTGCCTTACAGCAGAAGCATCAATTATAATAGTGATGCCATCAATCTCTAAAGAATACTTGATTAAAAAGTGCAAATGAAGCATGCTGGCAATTCTGATTAATACATTTAAAACATTTTTTCTATGGTTTTATAAATTAAATCTATAATGAAGACAAGCAGTTGTATTAGCTCAAGTGAAGGTGAGGATAACTTGTATCCTCCCCAGAAGACATAAAGATTTTTAACAGTTAATGGCAGATAGGAGACTTCAAACCTCCTAAAGTAAGAGTTTTAGTAAACCAGGAATTGAAGTATGACACATTTAGTTTAAATCTTGTGACTGGATTTTCAATTTCCCCAAAGCTTATTACAGTCAAATAAGCAACCTCAAACTGCATGAAAATAATTGTTCAGTAACATTTTACATCTGCCTTCTCCTCGTGTAAAATATTTCTTACAAAGAAGACGGAACAACATTTATGACCTTGGAAAATAAGGCCAGAAAATGGATCCTTCAGAGTAAATTATTTACATTTATCATTTTGATTCTCCAGACGTGTATGTGGCCAGTCTCTTCGCGAACGAAGAACCGGGGAAGGTCTTTCCACCTTCCAGCCTGCGCATTGGATTTTTTAGGTGAGACACAGTGTGCGCGGAACTGAGCCCACCCTTTAATCCTGAGGTTCATCTGCCGGGGCCAAGCACGCTTGGACGGTGGCAGTGAGGTCCTCAGGACGTAGAT